TTTAAAATAAAGATCTTTTAATTGCTGAATAAAAAGCATTAATTTCTTTAAACAAAAAAAAAAACTTACTGACTCCAAACCTTTATACGGTAGCATGTACATAACACAAATACATACCTAAGCAAACTCTGGCAGTCTAGTTGTGCCTGAGGGGTTCCAGAGGTAGCCTCCATCAGGATGTACACACAGGAATCTCACCCCTTTCCCGTTATCCTCCACTTGCTAATGGCTTTTGACAAACCTGCCGCCCGTTGTGGCCTTGTTCTCATTGAGCCGGCGAGACACAGCGAGCCTCCCCTCAGCCTTGAGGACCCACTTCAGGCACCGCATCTGTCGCCTTGACAACACTCTGCCACTGTTCTGTCACCACCTCCAGTCTCTCTCATTCCTTCTCTGCACAAGGACATGAGTCTGCATGCACTCGCCTCGGCTTTTGTGCCAAACACATACAAATTATTTTCCTAAAAACACTGACTACACTTAAAAATAAGAGTTCCAAAAGGGGCGGGGCCATAACAACCATAGACATTGAAAGAGACTAGTACCCCTCCTCAATATTTAGAAATTGCGAAACTGACCCTTTGCAAAGACCCGCTCCCCCTTACTTACTGTTAGGCTACTACGTCCGACAAGCCACGGCGCTCTCACGACACACATCGTTCTCACGCAGTAAAAAAAAAAAAAGCATCCCAGAGCAAAGAGGAAACTGACAACGCGCCATCAGACAAAACAGAGCAGGTTATTTAAGGTATAAAACAAAATCTCAGCTGTCAAATGTTGTCTTTTTTTTAAAGAAATTCAAACAATAAATACCATTTTGTGGCTCTTTCATGTGTCGTGACAGATCACTGTAGAGCCTCAGTTCAAGCGGCACGTGAACCGATCATCTCTTCCTCATTACTAGTAATGGCTTGAAATAAACATGAATGAACATCAGAAGGTATCTTGTTTCAACCGCGTCAATATGCAACATTTTTCAAGTTCAAGTCCATCGACATTAGTCTACTCTCCTGTCTGGTTTATTTGTCAGACAAAATGTCAGATTCTGTGTCATAATTGGTCAGATTGCCTGTCAGTCAAACTCCCAACTTCTTATAATATTTGAAATTCTTGCACTGATCTGCTTCACTCCTTTACATAATGCCCTGTTTGTTGTTAGGATGACAAAAAGGTTTAACATTTACATATTTGGTCTGTCTCAGCATGGGCGTTTGTCAGCGTCAAATTGACTTGGATGGCCAATGAAATCTAAGTAGGCGGGGCTTACCGTTCACAGAAGCAGAGCGTGAATTCCAGCGAGAATCATCAGTTAAAGGGTTAGTTCACACAAAAATGAAAATTAGGCTGCGTTTTACTCACCCCCGAGGCATCCTAGGTGTATATGACTTTCTTCTTTCAGACGAATCCAGTCGGAGTTATATTAAAAATTGTCTTTGATCTTTCAAGCTGTTTAAGAAAGAGAATGAGGTAAGATGGAAGTAGCGAAACCTGTAATATTTTACAGCTGTTTTATGATAGAAATGTTAAACGAACAACAGTAATATCCAGTGTTGGAAACCACTCGGCATTTTATATCAAAAAAGGCTGTTTAGAATCAAAAGTATGGTATTATTTACGTGATTAATGTATGAATGTGACGATATAAACGTTTTGCGCTTATTCGATGTATTCGACGTATTTCACTGTTCGACAGACTGAATGTGTTCATATTGTGCTATATTACTTGAAAATAGTTCAAAATGATTATTTCTAATAATAGAATTTCCTTCACCGTTGTATGTCTTCATAGTACATTTGAATATTTTTAGCGATACAAATGAAAAATTCTAATAATAATAGTAATAGTTTTTGATTCCCTGAAGAACTTTTTAGTGAACAATTCATATTTTTTCTTAGTGCGAAGAACATAATCTAAATAACTATTTTCCTCTTTAAAGAAGCTTTCGTTGAATGGAAATGTTCCACACTTTTTTTAAACTCCGAATGTGAAGAACATTTTAATAATCTAAAGAATCTTTTTCCACTATAAAGAACATTTTGTGCATTGGAAAGGTTTCATGGGTGTTAAAGGTCCATAAAAACATTTATTTCTAAGAGTGTAGGTTGTAGGAGACGTTGAAATCGCTCTGTATTATGGTTTGTTTAGGACACAGTGATAGGTACATCAATGGTTGACATCGATTGGAAAAATAAGAGTGATCTTCCAAAAGAATATCTCATGCTGAGATGATTGTCGTAATTTAATATCATAACATTATACAACTGGAATTTCTCAAGGAATGCCACATTCGGCCATCTGCCAGGTGGATTTTATCCATGCCGTACAGATTCATAACACAGGGTGAATTCAGATAAATTGGCTTCTTGCCATTCATTTGATTTGACATTTATATATACAGTAGGGTCCAAGAGTCTGAGACCAATCAGCGCTCAACAATAAGAATGGCCTGCAGCCAGTGGTAGAGCGTTTGGAGCCAGTTGACAGGACTGTCACTCATCCCTTCAGGCCAGGGCTGCAATGCCACTGAAAATCTCACATTCATTGATCTTCCACATCCTTTTTTATGCCTTGCAAACGTAAAGGCTTTTGTGATGTATTCTGTGCTGTTGTTGCAAATTTTGCTGATTTGTCACCAAGATTGTTATCAAGCCGGCTTTCATAGATGTGGTGTAGTAGAAATTGCAAAAATGACTTAGGAGAGTTTTGAAAGAATGCATTTATCAGCACAACTTTGTTTTAGAACACTGTTATCTCTCAACACAATACCATTTTAGATTTCATTTAGATTACCAGTTTAATTTCCTTTTTGCTTTTTCTAAATTAAAAAAAAAAAAATATATATATAGCTAAAAATATCAATATTGAAAATGCATTGACTATTAAAAATATTATTTTTATTATAATATCAGCATAACAACTATACAAAGTTGAACTAATTATGAATTTAAATAGAAAAACTAAAGAAAATGTCACATTATAGAATAAAAATATTAATATTATTTTAGTAAATACTATATATAAATGCATAGCTACAAATATCAAAACTGAAAATGCATTTACATTTTCTTAATTTATTAAAAATTATATTACCAGCATAACAACTGTGCAACATTTAACATGAATTTGAGAATGTTGTATTGGTATTAAAATCTGTGCTTTATAATTTACATAACTAGATTTTCTTTTTGAAAACAAAAAAAAATTGTAAATATAAATATTATTTCCAGCAAATATAAAAACTATATAGCTAAAATAGCAATACTGAATCTTCTCTATTATTTATGAAAAATTATATTACCAACATAACATCTGTAAAAAGTTTGAACAATTAACATGATTTTGAGAATGTTGAGTATTGAAAAACTTGTATCATTTATATACCTATTTTTTGTAAAGAAAATAAATTGTAGAGAAATCTCACATTGAATGAAAAATATAAATATTATTTCTAGTAATTATATAAATGCATAGCTACAAATATCAATATTAATAAAATGCATCTACAGTATTTAACTTTTTTATAAAAAAACATATATTTCCAGCAAAACAACAGAAAATTTGAAACAATTTACACGTTATTTGAGAATGTTATCTTATAGTATTGAATTGCTTTAATGATAGCAGTTTTACATTTACATATTTGATTAGTGATTAGAAATAGTGCAGACTCTTTAATATTTTTTTATGCATTTTAAAAAAAAGATAAAACACTCTTTATTTCCAGGTCTATATGAATGATTTTGAGAATGTTGAGTATTGAAAAACTTTTATCATTTATATAACAATTTTTTTAAAGAAAATAAATTGTAGAGAAATCTCACATTGAATGAAAAATATAAATATTATTTCTAGTAGTAATTATATAAATGCATAGCTACAAATATCAATATTAATAAAATGCATCTACAGTATTTAACTTTTTTATAAAAAAACATATATTTCCAGCAAAACAACAGAAAATTTGAAACAATTTACACGTTATTTGAGAATGTTATCTTATAGTATTGAATTGCTTTAATGATAGCAGTTTTACATTTACATATTTGATTAGTGATTAGAAATAGTGCAGACTCTTTAGTATTTTTTATGCATTTTTAAAAAAAGATAAAACACTCTTTATTTCCAGGTTTATATGATAAATAAATATCCCAGTCTTCAGTCTTTTGGACCCCACTCTCTTTCTCTCTCTATATATAGTCAGAGAAGACACCATATTTTATTGAACACGAACGAAGAGGCTTTGAAGAAAGTACAGTCCGTTTGATGTACCTTCCTGTTTAAAGTTTAGGTCACGTCCAATGAAAATTTCTGAAATAACATCTTGTTCTTTGTTCAACTCAATTAAATGTGCCTTTGACACTGACTACAGTCTTAGTGATTAGAAATAGTGCAGACTCTTTAATATTTTTTTATGCATTTTAAAAAAAAGATAAAACACTCTTTATTTCCAGGTCTATATGATAAATAAATATCCCAGTCTTCAGTCTTTTGGACCCCACTCTCTTTCTCTCTCTATATATAGTCAGAGAAGACACCATATTTTATTGAACACGAACGAAGAGGCTTTGAAGAAAGTACAGTCCGTTTGATGTACCTTCCTGTTTAAAGTTTAGGTCACGTCCAATGAAAATTTCTGAAATAACATCTTGTTCTTTGTTCAACTCAATTAAATGTGCCTTTGACACTGACTACAGTCTGTAGGTATCAACATATACAGTAAACAAAACCGAATGTGCGACTGACATACCAGACCCGATGAGTTGTTTAATAAGGCTGCTTGGGACGTTTTGCCTGTTTAGCTTTATTTTCACTGCGAACAAGAGAAAAAAAAACATGGATGCTATTAAAATAAGTCCTATTTCTCGAGGAATGTAGGTCTGCCGCCTTTCTCGCCGCGCTCCTCTTTTAACGCATTTTTCCTGCTGCTTCTCTCAGTGAGAATGTTATTTTTTAATGGCACACTGAGGACTGATAGGCCATTTGCACTGAGCTTTTTGTTTGTCTGACATGGCTTCATGCCGCGGACGACTGGTCAATAGGTCTACGGTTTGCATGCAAGTACACACACTCAAAAACAACTACTTTTTTCTAAAGAACAGGGAGAACGCAAATGTAGGAAGACGAAGTTAGATGTTTTTCCATCTGGTGCTGTTTTTTTCTTCCTTTCAGACTTTCTTTGTGTCCTTTTTATTTTAGCTTGCATCAAGATCTTTTTACCTCTAATAGGAAGAGGGCTGTTCATTTATCTAGGCCCTGCAGTTTCACAAATTTCCCTTTGAGCCTCGAGAGGAATGAAAGCTCTTTTTAACCAACACCTATTACCTCAGCCATCTGTTCCCCGGGCGTGAAATAATTCACAATTTCTCCGATATGATCTTTTTCATTTTGCCTTGTCGTATTCATTTGAATGATTTTATTCCTCTTCTTTAGGTTTTATTCGTTTCACAGTCTGGGTGAATTCACCCTTTTGCGCTCAGGCTCATTATGGTTAACACCCCCACTGGATGTGAGATTTTATTAGTCCTCTTGCCTCCAACCCCCTCGTGGGGGCTTCAGAAATTAAGACATTACCAACCAAACGCTTCATGCTGAACTAATGAGCCACTGAAACATGCCGGTGGGGGACTTATTTTAAACGCAGCCCGACTATCTGCACTCTGTATTAAAGATAAAATGAGCTAAATATTTGTTACTGAAGTGGGATTGAATTGCTCAGCACCTGTTAGGCCTTCTTGTGAACTTTAAGCCCAGTTTTTATTGCTTTTCAGCTCTAAATCTGCTACTGTAATAATGCCGTGACTGATCGAGTAGAGTTGGGAACGTCGAACTGACTGCTGCCATCTGGAGTCTAGATGGACTTGTGGTAAAATGGAGCGTTTTCGTCCATTAACATCAATAATCAATGTGGCGTAAAAGCCGCGGCCTAGCGTTTAACACGCATAGCTCGACATGTGAGTAGAGCTTGTGTGGCGTATCCTGATCTCGCCTCTTCTCTGCTTCATTTATTGGACTTTCTTGACTCCCTTAAGTAATTAAAGAGGCGAAAATGAAACTAGATTTGCATTTTCTGACAGATGTTCAAGCTCAACGGTAGTTAAAAACAATGGGCAAAACAATCTTTATAGCTTTTATTTGGGTTCATGTTCTTTCACAGCTACACAACTGTTCAAATGTTTGGTGGTCATAAGATTGTTTTTGAAAGAAGACTCTGGTGTTCGTCATAGCTTCATTTATTGGATGAAAACTACAGTAATATTGTGAAATATTTTTACCATTCAAAATAACTGTTTTTAGGTGAATATATATTAAAATGTCATTTATTCCTGTGATCAAATCTGTATTTTCAGCATCGTTACTCCAGTCTTCAGTGTCACATGATCCTTCAGAAATCATTCTAATATCCTGATTTGCTGCTCAAGAAACAATTCTGATTATCAATGTTGAAAACAGTTGTGCTGCTTCAGATTTTTATGGAAACCTTAATACTTTTGCTTTCAAGATTTTTTGATGAATGGAAAGAACAGCATGTAGAAACATTATTAATGTCTTGATGGTCATTTTTGGTCAATTAAATGCATCCTTTCTGAATAAATTTTAAATAAATTTAAATTTAAAAAAATTTAAACAAATATTCTGAATAAATATTTAAATCTGACCCCAAAATTTGAAGAGTATAGTGTGAATATAAAACTGTTCATTGTTCATTTGTGTTTATTAATAAAACAGATTTTAATGTCTTGAAATGTTAAAATATATATAAAAATGAACATGGAATTTGATTAATAATTAAAGCTGTAAAAGCTGGTCGTTGTTAGTTCATGATACCCAATGCATTAAATAATGTTTGAGATTCGAAGTTTGAGGTTTTAGTGCATTAAACAATATCAAAAACACTTTTTAAGCAAAACATTTCACAAAAAGAGGTTTTAAATGTTAAAATAATAGATATAGGCCTACTGTTCAAAATGAAGACGAACAGTATTTGGACACTTTTTGGATATCAAACATTAATCATCTTGACACCTAGTTGGTTTAAAGTCATTGTTGGCAAAGATGGCTCTTAGAAATGAAGCATAAACCCATCATTTGTTCACATATGCCATTGGTTGTGATGTTTTGTTATTTAATGCATTGAAATTCATACATTTTAAGTGTCCAAATCCTTGCTTTGTTATAAATAATCAATGCAGTAATCAAAATCTAACAGTGATATATTTCATTCATGAGCAGGTCAGTGTAACTTGATTAAAACAAATTTCATAGCATTAATGAGCAACTGCAGTCCCTGAAGTTATGAAATTAAACCATCTGTGATTTTAATCGATGAAAGCATTGATTTTTTAAACTAATGTTTTCCAATTGGAGATGCTGATCTCTTTGAACAGTGAATGCGGTTCGTTTTAGTCTTTACGACCCTGGCTTTTGGTTTAAAAGAAGGACCTGCGGAATGAAAGTGTTTTCTGAATGTCCTGAAGGTCTTTCAAAGCAGGTTATGGAAAGCCAGGTTAGGATTTAGCGGCAGACGAAAGCCACCGGAGCAGCGGTGTAGTTAAGTGCCCTGCTCAGGGGCACGGCTGTGCCGGACGATCCGGGCCGTAGCCGAATGCGGTTGGCTGAGAGTCCCTGGCCGCCGGCGCTGAAGCTGAAATCCCTCGGCCTCTGGTTGATGGTCTGGTCTTCCAGCACGCATGACCTCTCCAAGAGAGCTGCGTGCGCTATTGATGTTTTCTAATGGCTCGTCTGTGTCGGCTAATGGAGGGATGGGATTGGCTGTGACTTGAATCTTATATTTCAGTGAGTGTGTTTTTCATGCTCGCATGTAGTGTGCACTGACCTCTTGCTGCTGGACATTAGTGGGTGCAATAGAGGTTCTTAGTAATATGTTTACATCAGAAGAGAACCGTCCTCTTATGAAGAACTTTGTTCAGCAGGCTTCCTAAATTGCTGTTTGGCTCTGTAGAAGTAGTTCTTGATGTTCACGTTGCTTGTATGTTCTTAGATTAGTGTGCTGGTTTATGGGATCTCTTTTAAAAAATCAAAGGTTTTCAATCTTTTAGATGCCGCCCCTAAATATGATCGTCCTTTTTATTTTATTTCAGCTAGTTGCCAAGTCAACATTTCTCATTTTCAGTTAGTTTATTTTGAGGTACTAACTAAAACTGGAATAAAAATGAATACAAACTACATAGACATACTGTAGGAAAAAAACAACAAAAGCCAAAAAATGACCTATAAATAAATAAATAAATGACTAAAACTTTACAATTAAAATGAAAAGAGAAGATATAAAAATAATTTACAACTAAAATAACCTTGGTGCAAGGGACCCCCCGTCTTTAAATATAAAAGGCATATATTTGCATTTCTATACTGTAAAAAAATTAATTTGTGAAATATTATTTGGAAATTATTTCTTGTTTTTTTTTAAAAATCTTTTCTTTTTTTTATCATTTTATCTTTTGTTTTTTTAAACATTTTAATAAATTAATATTTATTTCAATTCATTTATTTCAATGAAATAGTGTTGTTTATTTCATAATTTGTTAGTATTTATTCCTTATTTATTTTTCCATTTTTACCACTGCTTTAAAGCACCAGTATACTGTATAGAGATTTTATAGAGTATAGATTTTATGGAGATCGATTATTTAACAAAAAATTATAACATGATGAAAATTAACTAGTGTTGAACACCCTCTGGGACAGTTTGTACCCTTTTTGTAGAAAAAGTGCCATTTTTAAGACTGTTAAGGACTGTTCATATACACTGTACTGTATGAGGTGTTCTTGCATCCATCTGAATGACAATTGTTCAGTTTATTCATGCACTTAAAATGTTAATTTAAAGAAGTTAAACTCCTAAAAATGTGTTGCGATCTCTGCATCCTTTTCCATTTTGTTCTGTCTTGCTGCTTTTGAACACTAGAGCGTGACCTGTGTGATCTGCCGCGTACTGCCGCTGTGTTGTAAATGTACATTAATTGCGTTTATTTTTTTGTGGACGGGCTATTTTTAGCCTCTCTCTGGTTTTGGAGAGCTCCAGATGCGGTGGATATTTTTAATCCTGGCGTAACTGTATGTAAGCGTGTCAGTGTGAGTGTGTCCCCTGTGTGTGTGGATGTAGCTCTCATCTCTCCATCACTCGCTGCAGCTCCACACAGATGGACAGATAAACAGCTCTGGAGAATTCGCCAAACTCACTGTTGAACTCCACTCCGCTCTCTTATTTCTCCATTTCAATCCTTCGTTCTCTTCCTCCTCCGCGAGGGCCTCCCCAAAACTCGGCGAAACACACTGACAGCCTCTGGTTCACACACACTGGCGCTCTCTGTGGGACTCCCCCCGCTTTCATGTAGACAAAAGCGTGGCGGTTGGATCATCATGTCTGTCTGTTCTTCTGTGATGCGCTACAGCAGCTCCCGTTGCCTAAAATAGCGCTGCTTCACCTGAGTCTGTTTCTTCACAGGTTGACTTGCAAAGAGAGACGAAGTGTGGAGGAAGGTGAGAGGTGGAAGTGATGGTAGGATGTGAGGTATCTGTCTGCTTCTAAAAGGGCTTCAACAAGATACAAGCTCCTTAGATTTTACAGCCAGTCAAGCTATTTTTAATTTTAGATGATTTAGATCACCTCTGCGGTTATTAAAGCCCACCTATTGTGCCCAAGTTAATCTTTGAATACACCGATGGTTTAATTACACTTAAATCTTTAGCAAATATCAAAATGAACATTCATTTTCAAACTGTACATTAAATAGTTGATGAACAAAATCACACATTTATTTGCTTGTTTAAACAAAATAGTATAGAATTATGTTTATAATAGCCTATATACACACACACAGCCTAATGGCCCAACCAAAAAACAAATTTAAAAAGCATTTAAGTATTCAAATCTTAGATGTTTATTCAGATCCTTCTATTATCAATTGAAACCCACAATGATATTTAAAATATTAGTACGCTTAATATATATAAAATCATCATTTATTGAGTAATTTCAATTGGGAGGCGGCTGTCCCGAACCCTGACCCCTAAAATTCAACTTGTGAAAATATTGAAATAATTTTTGTATTTCTTTCCGTTGTCATTTTTTTAAAAGTATCTTTTTTGATTCTTTTAAAAAGTGAAGTTAAAAATAATATTTATTTTATATTTTCTTTGTAAATTATGAAACTTTATGTAAAAATGTGTCCCGCATTTTTCATGTCACTGCCGAAACAGTGTATGTTTTAGTCCTTTGGCCGAAACTGATTTTAACTAAACCCATAAATTTATGATCAGGAAATATTCCTCTGTCCCCCTCTCTCATAGCTACAGGGTGTGAGTAGATAGGTCTCATCATTTTGAGGGAAATGTGTTCAAACGTCTGAAAAATCTGTATGTAACTTTAAGGAACGTCACTACCAAACACATTTTGTCTGCAATTAAGCACACTTTTTTGGGAGTTATTCCATAACATTTAGTTTTTATGTGTAGCACTGTTCAGAACTGTGCTAGCTAACCATGTGCTGATTAGCATCTTTGAGCTACATTCAAAAGTATCTCAAATTGTCACTACCGAAACATTTAGTGGAGTTTCGGTAGTGACGTCTTTGTTTTTTTGGGTGTTATCCCATAGAATTGTCACTACTGAAACAGTCACTACCGAAACTTGTCATCATTGTTTCGGTAGTGACAAAAGGGAACACATAATTCTCATATTTGGGGGAAATAAACACATTTTTAGTATAGTTATGCAATTTTTTTTGTATTTTAGTATGTTATAGTAGTGTTTTAGTATGCAAGTTAAAATTCTGTAATGTGATGTAGTTGCTACCAAAGCATTACTGTCACTACCGAAAATGTGCTGTCACTACCGAAACATGGGATGTTTTGTCAAAAATAAAGTATACTGAGTTATCAACTGAGATGTTATGATTGGTTCAATGTACAGTATATTCAAACTAATGAATCCTTAACTTTGAAATCAGTATGATCGTTTCAAAATACAACAAATCTCTTAAATTACACTTGAAATATTGTTAAAAATGTAATTATTGATTTACCTCTGAAAATTAAAAAAATAGCAAAAAAGTGTATTTACAATCTAGATGTAAGCAAAATCTTAATAGGTCAATATAACCCTTCTAATTAAATTATTATTACTGTGTTTCGGTAGTGACAAATTTGGGGAGAGGACAAATATTCCAAAACTTTCGAAGAATAAAATATGAGAATTAACTGCGCAATTATTAGAAATGTGTACCTTGGATAATTTACAATTTGCATTTTTTTGCAAACATTTTTTTTTTTTTCCAAGACGTTTCCAACTCTGACTTAGGACCAATTCTGTAGAATGGCCCATATATATATATATATATATATATATATATAAAAATACACTTTTTTAAATCAATATTTACTTCTCCGTTTTGTGTGCACTCGCAGCAAATCTATTTAATTTCTCCGAGGTAACATCACTTACACCTTGTTTTTCATTTGGTAGGAAATGCTAGTAATGCCCACTGGTGAAATGGATGCTGTGTGTGAGCTTGTTTTGTGAGAATTGTTTTTGGTTTATGAAGTATTGAACCACAGCGTTCACATGAATTTGGATTCAGCAGCTTTAGGCTGGAGCGACCTGTGAGAAGACTGCTATCTGCCTGCATGTGTACGAGTATCAGCCTGTGTGTTGTTATGGATGACATCTCTACCACACTGATACTGTTAGTGTGTGTGTGTGTGTGTGTGTGTGTATTTATCTGCAGACATCCATTAGTGCATGACAGTAGAGGCAGACAGGAACACTGTGTCTCTCGGTTGGGAGAGAGAGAGAGAGACTCTGAATTGCCCTGGCTTTTCATTGCCTCTTCTTCCCTTGTTTCCCTCCTTTCCTTTTTCAGGCTTTTCCTCTGTGTGTCACTGTCTTAGAGCACAATACCTGAGCTGGACACTTTTTCCCAGAACATATTGAAGACTCTATCAGAATTTGTGCCCAATGTGTCCCAGTTTCTTCCGTGTCAAAAACAGTATGAAGCTGATTTCGGTGAGCATCTGCTGAGCGTTTCAGCACAAAACCCTCCGTCTTATTCACGAAGTACCAAGGTCGTCATCAGGGCTTGCGATACTTTTGAACCTGGCTCTAAATGTGAAATATTGTGCCGCTGTATTTAAATCAACTCATTGTCATTCTTTTCAACACGATCACACTTTCCTTCTATGTAAATTAGGTTTTTTAATAGAATGTGCTTTATTCACAAAACTGTTTGTCTATTAGCTTTGCGCTATTACCGCCCCAGGAAAGCAGGCAGTAAACTGAATTTCATTTTAGATCTTTGTACATATTTTTCTGTTGATTATGGCAGCAATTATTCATCAACTGATGATGAAAAGATGAAGCGTTCTAGCCGGTCATAGATATATATCCAGATTTGGGTTGTGTTTAAGCTATTTTTTGGCTTTTTAACTCTGTATTGCTTTCTAAAGCCTCTACACATTAACATCAGTCAATTTCAGGGGGGAAAATTATATCTTTTTACTAAGATAGAGTTCAAATGGGCACTGATATATGTTTTCATATTTAAAGAATTTGCCACTGATGATTCAAACGCGAGTTTTGAGCAGTGTAGAGTAGGGCTTGTTGTTTGTCATTTCTCTGATCACAAATGCAAACATGCAACGCAATGCGATGCAACACAACGCGTAAAAAGATAGTGTAAGTCATTATAATCAGTAATTATGTCCCCACTGGATGCTACAAATGCCTCATTTATAATGGGTTTTATCTTCTAAGGTAAATGGTTTTATTAATAATAATAATAATAAATTAAGTTAATTATTTATGATTTGAATTCATGTTTTTTATATTAGTAATATTTAATACTTTTAATTTACCATTTAATTTGGTTAGATTTAAAAAAAAAAAAAGCATTCTAGAAGATTTTATTTTTTTTTGCGTTTATCTGATTTTCATAATTCTTTTAGTGAATCAAATTCTAAAGTAGTGCATGCAAGCTAATTTTACAATTTAGCAGGAGCAATTCATTCTTAATTATTCTGAATGAATATTGGTTTTATTATTATTCATTTATTTTTTAATTATTAAATTTAATTAATTATTTAAAAATATATATTTTTTTATTTAATTCTACATTTAATTTGGTTTGATTTTTGAAAAGCACAGCAATTTATGGAGTCGAAGTTGATGTTATTTGAACTTTTACCAGCATGCTACAATGTTTTATCTTGGCACTTTGCTCCATAGAGCTCAGTGCATTTGGAAACATTTTATATGCATTACATTATCTGCTTATTCATTAATTTTTTCAGAGTGTGCCCCTGTTTTATGCATTTATTTGGGCCGTGGCCTCTCACTCTTTCTCACTCTCTTCATCTGTCTATCCATATATTCATTCCTGAAGGGCACTAATACCCCTGTTCTGCTTTCATCTGTCTGTCTGTCTCCCTTAAGTCTTATACAATCATCATAATCTTGCACAATCAGGCCACTTTCATTTCTCCCTACTCCTCTCTCTCTCTCCATCAGTCTGTCTTGTATGGAGACACACTTGTTCAGTTTGGGTTCAGATCACGGTGACACAAAAGATCTAGTTGTCAAATGGCTGGATGTACCGAATCACTCACTGAACAGCGTGTACGCACAGTGCATTTCATGTTCCCGCTTTTGTTTATTTCTTTCTTTCAGCTTTTATTCATGTCCTTCTCTGGTTCCCGGTGTTGTCACATACACAAACAAACTCAGTATGGAATAAATCAGCGCGCTAGAGGACTCCACGGCTCATGCTGCGCATCTGATGATACAGATGCTTACGTCTACATCCCCTCGGGTTAGAGTGATGGACGAACGATGTCCACCTGGACACGTGAAAGGCCATCGATACGCGTTAAAAGAAACCTGCCAAGTATCCAGACACACACAAAGCCCGAGTTTAATTCAGTCATCAAAAGCAGCATTTCCAAACCGCTAGCCATTTTCTCCCCCAGCTTCACCAGAAGATAACACCCAATTACATGAAAGTAAAGAGTGGAGAGCGTTTATTACGGTCATCTGCTGCGTTAATCTCCGCATAATGCCTGCAGATGTGATCGCACTGAAATACAGGCATGTGACGGGTCCAAACGGGCCTGATAAAACTGCAAATGTGCACCGCTGCACACTCAATCCTCACGCTGTATGATTGATAACTGTAAGGCAGACTGAGCGCTAATATATAGGCAAGTCTTGAGAGCGTGCAATTATGTGCATGTAATTATAACTGATGGAGTGGTGCTCCGTGAAGTGAATAAAGTCCGTCAAAAGATGTTTTCATTTGATTGAAGAGTTCGTCAGAGACTCGAATCAGGGAAAAGGAGCTGAATTTCCCATCAATCAGTGCAGAGGAATGTAAATGGGGAAATGGCGCGATCTGGCTTGAAACTTAACCTTTGATTTGACGGCGAATGTCTGTTGGCGTTTCTGTGAATTGGCTTCTGATGACTGGTTGTGGTCGAATGGTTCGGTCGGGAATATTTGTTTTGTTGCGTGTTTGAGTGAGTCAGTGTTATTTATTATGTCGCGGCATGAGGACGAGGTTTTGCCGTAAAGGTTTTTCTTCATGATTCAGGGGTTTTATGAAGACACACTGCCTGATTGTGAAAAGAGCTCATTTAGAGCAACAGTATTTCATATCGTAGGCCAAACATAAGATTAAATACTGGCTTATTTACCAGACTGTCTACTCTATTACGAGTTTTCATTCTCTTCTCAAAGGAATAGAACAATCAAAATTATTTCTGTGGAACGCAAAAGGAAACGTTTTGCAGAATATTGTTGCTCTTTTCCACAGAATGAAAGCATACAATAACCAGGAGGGGCCTCAACGGTGTCATTGTAGTGTTAATTATATACTTTATTATATACTTAGCTTATTATATATATATATAGAGAGAGAGAGAGAGATGTTTTTTTTTGTTGTTTTTTTTGTAATTTAAATTCTTATTTCAGTTTTGCTGTCAAGGCCACATTTGTTTGTTTTCATGTAATAACAATAACACATTGAATTAAGCATGTAATACTGAAGTAAAAAGAATGAAATAATGTTTTCTTGTAAAACATACTCCAATAATCTTTGAAAAATATTTTTACAGTACCTATAGTAACTTTTTATTTTCAGATCTTATATTAATTTATATTTTTTGAATTTTGTATAAATATTATAGCAATGTGCTTTTGTCATTTTTTATTATTATTTTAAAAAATATTTCTATATAGCGTTAATTATTTCAGTTTTAGCATTTTAGTACTTAAACTTATTTCGGTAAGTTGCCAAGGCAACATTTGTCAATTTTGTTTACATTTTAAAATTCAAATATTCATCTAATATTTGTATCCTATTTTATTTCAAAATTATTTTAATTACTGAAAATGTTAATACTTAAACTTATTTCAGTTATTTAGCATTTATTTTATTATTTTTTTCTTTTACATTTTTAAGTTAACAATTTTCATCTAGTATTTATATTGTATTTTACTTAAAAACTTTTTAATTACTGAAAATGATTTTTAACAATAACACTGGCTGTCAATCTCTAAAAAAAAACACTATATAAAAGCACCATTCTACAAAGAAGTACCATATAATTAGTCCATACATCTTTTGTACTAAAGTCTTCTGATTGAAGTCATACAACAGCTTTGTGTGAGACGTAGAACAATATTCAAGTTATTATTGTTATTGTTTATGGGTTAGTTGTTATTCACTCTTGCTGCTCTCAAATCACATTCTCCATTCCTTTGCGCACCGTGTTTTGGATGCTAATGAAATTTCAGTCAATAACAGATAGGAATCCTCACAGAACCTATTGAATAGCTTCAGAAGTCGTAGAAGAGCGTGCACAAACTGGACATAATAGTGCTTTATTTAACAGTCAGTGGTCACTATATGCTTTGGTTACATGGAAAAGAACAGCGTGAACATTTATCCTAACATCTCCTTTTGTGTTTCTCGGAAGACAGTCAGTCACACAGGTTGGAAACAACATGCAGGTGAGTAAATGGTGACAGAATTGTTATTTTTTTAGGTTAACTATACCGTTAAAATATAATAGTTGGCAACTGTACGCGAGTAGACAACATCTTGGGTGTGTTTTACTGCTAAACAGGGTGATTTCAATATTGGTTCATATTTGAGAAGATGATTCATTTCCTGAACATTTTCAACGGAGTGCAGAGTGAGTGAACGTGAATCTTGATTTTTCCCGCTCCGTGCAGATTAGAGCTGGAATTTCCCCGGCGCAGATGAGCTGTAGATAATGAAGAAATACTCGTTGTTTTCGCAGGTCTCGCCGAACGATCGCACCTCAGCTCGGGCAATCATTCGCATGATGTTTCTTGTAAATTGAATCACTTTGTTTTTGATTTAGTTGGTTATTTGGAAGTTTGATTTCCTTTGCTTTGTACTTTCTGCTGCTTTCTTTTTTTCATTTCTGTTTCATCACTATTTTATATTAATGCCCTAGGACTTTACAGGCAACCGTTTTTCCACTCAGCCACAAGCTCATTCTTGTGAAACGCGG